GGACGAGTATATAAGTCCCCTAACAGCCTTGTAAATTTTTCACCCTTGATCAATAAAGCAAAAGCATTCTTCTTAAAGAATTTTTTCTTGAACAACCTTCGAAATCCGAGATTTCTAGTTGTTCGCTCCGTCAGTATCGAGTTGTTTCCATCCGGCTCGTGGTGACCTTCAATCCATCTTCGCTTCCATTCGTTCATCTCTTTATCCGTAGTGAAAACGCCGTACGACCAGCACTCGGATCCGTTCATCACTTCGCTTCCATCGCTCATCGCTACCCGACTCGCAACAGGTGCCGTACGGCCGGTTCGAGCCATCCACCCTCCACGTAATCTCCGTTTGTGAGGCTGCATATACACATCACCAATAATCACTTTAACTTAGGTTTATACCAGGCCTAGAAATAGATATCCAATGGTTCCATACAACCATGGTATACCCATCTCATCACCCACAATCACATATAACCAATCCATGTCCAGTAGGCTAAATGCCAACCCTCAGTGCAACCGGCACACCCACAATATTACACACGAGGATCCAACACCCCAATAGATTATTCACGCGGGATACAATACCCCAATAGATTATATAACGAGGATCCAACACCTTAATAATATAACAAGGATCCAACACCTCAAAAGATTACACTATACTACAGGATGATCAATATCCTAACCAATGCAGCTCAGCAATCAGCTGTCACATTCCTCTAACCCGTGACAGGTCAACCTAACGAGATCACACAACCATGCATTTCCATGCACATTCCACTAACAACCTAACACACATGCTATACACACAACATTGTATAACTATCCTTAGACATGACATAAACATAAGCTAGAAGGATTACGAGTGTTGTATATCCACAGATCACCCCCTCAACTTAGCATTTTGGTAGACAAGCAAAGCAAAGAAAAGTAGCTACAGATCTGCATAGACATAGAGAGACATTCACTACAAGAAAACATATCAATTTTTGAGCAATCGTTTTTGTGGTCAATACTATTTTGACCATTTTCGACCAATTTTAGACGAAGGTTTATTTTTGTTATAAATTGGTCAAGAAAATATGATGAAATATAAGAGTGAAAAATTGGTCAAAATTTTTCGACCAATTTTTAATGGATTCGTAAATTTGTCAAAAAATGGTCGAAAACTTGCGACAAACAAGATTGATTGAAAATTGGTCAAGAAAACATGTTAATTTTTTACCAATTTTTTACCAATAAATTGGTCAAAATGTTTGTTGACAAATTTTCGACCAAAAAATTATGAAAATTTAAACTCATCAAAATATGAGCAAACTTTTTTTGACTAATACAAGTGGTCAGTAAATAGTCAAAATATTCTTACCATTTATGGACTAAAACAAAATTTTGGTCGAAACTTCATGAGTAATTTTTTACGAATAAATACTTGACATAAATTGGTCACAATATTATCGACCAAATATTGAGGAGAACACTTCTATTKTATTTGTCCCACATCGCCAATATGGGAGGGATGAAACTTTGACTTTCTCTATAAAATAACACTTACTCCATTGTAAAAAACGTAAATGGGCTTCGTGGCTAAAATAGTTGAATTTTGAAATATTTTAATCGCTGATTGAGTGGATATTTTGAAATTATTATGAATCAAATATTTTAAATTTGAATTTTTATATTTTCGAATATATTTTGTTTGAAATATTATATATTTCAATTTTTTTTAAATATTTAATTTTATTTTAATTATTATGAATCAAATATTTTAAATTTGAATTTCAATATTTTCGAATTGATCAAAATATAGTTCTAAAATTTAAATATCTAAGTTGGTCAAAAATTGGTTAGAATATATGGTCTAAAATTGGTCAAAATATATAGTTCCGACCATTTTGATTCATCAAAAAATTTTGACGATTTTACTGGTCATAATCAAAATTTTGACCATTTTGTTCCTCAAAACCAAAATTTTGACCATTTTTATTGGTCAAAACGTTTTGACTATTTTCTGACCAAATTCCATTTGCTACCATCGATTTTTTACGAATCGATTTTGGTCAAGTACTTGTCAGAAATAGCTGTTTTTGACCAATTTTAGACCAAATTGGTAGTCAAAATTGAAATGTTTTCTTGTAGTGATTAGGATTCTGATCACCTTTCAATTTTAGATAATAATGAAGAAAGTACAAAATTCATGTAGGTAATTTTGATTTTAAATAAATAAATCACAAAAGAACACGTGAACAAAAAAATTGATGTGAGAAAATTAAAGAGTGATTTTAGAACTTTTATGGCTGGTAAATCCAACAAGACTGATTGGAGAAATTTAGAGTTTACAAGTTTTTTAAAATGCTTTTAAAACCAATTTATCAATCACCCTCTAATGCAATTGAAACAATTTGTGTTTGACAAAGTAATTTTTCTAACCAATACTCTCGAAAAAAAACTTTACTAAATACAAAAAATAGAAGCAATGAATTGATGTGAAAGATAAAAATCACAGCAATATAATAAATAGCATGAGAAAAAAAATTAAACATTAATTATTCTCTTCTTATTCAAAAATCTAATGAAATAAACAAAAATATGTATTCCAACACCTCTGTTGAGATGATGTAGCTGTCTCTTTAGAAACAAAATATATTACAATTTTTCTTATCAATAGGTTTTTACATACGTATTTGATGCAAAAAGACGACCAATCATTTTTTTAGGAAACCGTAGTGAATATTGATTTAGACATACAAGTTAAGAATTTATATCAAAGAAGATGTCTTTCATATGCTATAATTTTTATTAATAAATGGTATTTATATACATATATATAATGGTGTGCATGTCTAACAATTTGTTACAAATGCTTAATCTTCTAACTTAAATAATTATTTACTATAAACACCAAATTTATATAATATTAAATACACAGTTATTAACTAAAAATTATTAAGTTACTTTTTACCATGTTAATTTTAAATTCCACGCAACGCGTGGACAATCCCTAATATTATATACTTATGGGTTAATTAGTTGAATATCACTTTTGAAAAAGAAAATTAGATAAGTAACAAGTCCAAAAATATAATTAGGTAAGTAATAGAGAGAAAATTAAAAATATGCCAAAATTTCCATTATAATTATAATTAATGCAAAAATAAAGAAAAAAAGTCTCTAAAAATCTTCATTAAACTCTTC